GAGCAGGAAGAACAGGAATAGTTGCTGTAAACAATTTTCAACAACTACAGGCAAACACCAAGAGGCGTGATGTATATGAAGAGGAATTTTCTGCGACTGGTTGATCTGGTGTTGAGCCTAGCTTAGCATCAATGGCATTAAGCACTGCGAAGGCCAGCTCCCATAGCTGTTGTAGACTCAATTCGTTTAGCTGCTCCGGTGAAAAAAAATCCATGGCTTGGTCCCTACAGGCTGCGGCACCCTTCAAACCATGTCTTGGTTTCGAAGACCAAGCCCCTATCCTTTCCAACCCGCCTGGAATGGTCACGTGCGCGTTGAGGACGCAAACATGGTGAAAACCTCAAAAAAACACAGCCCTATCACATTCACAGCCTTACCAAACACAGGAGAATCCAAATCAAGATTACACAAATGTCCAATGTTTGAGATGGTTCATCATGTTGAGGCGCGAGCTCAGTCAAATCAAGAAGCCCAACAATTTGCAAATACTATGTTGAGCCAAAAAGTCCAAACAGCATAATCATCATAATCTTTTGTTTGCATATGATTCACATTGCAGCCCCAAACTCGTCAGGGATGCCTTCTTTCTCCTGTCGCTGGAGAACTTGAACTCTTTCTGGCTTCACGAATTTCGAGGCCCCATGGGCAAGCTGGTAGTCTGTGGCGGGGAGGACACAAGCGGCATGGGCTGCCTCAGTCCAGAACCAATACCATGGTACTACAATGTGGTTTTACTGAAATTGATTGGTCAGGTGAATAACAGGTTCAGAACCTATCAAATCATACACAGGGACATATGATTAGAGTGATATCAGTATACTACGTTGTTACAGAGCCATTCTTGCCAGGGCACTATGAAAAGCTTGTACTTTTGCCCTGGCACAACCTGATTCACTGAACCATCACGCTTCTTTGCACCCACAAGAATCAACGTTGTGCAGTGGGACCTGGCACTGAACTTGCTCTCAACGATGTATTGGTCTTGAAGAGTCTCTAGGGTCGTTGGCTCCTCCCAGGGCACAACCTTCTCCTGCTTGGCTTCAGCTTCTTGCTCTTGCTTCGCAATGAGCGCAGCCTGAAGCTCAGCAACCTGACGTTTTCCATACCTGGGATAGGAATTCTAGTTAGTTGGGGCTATTGGAATAAGAATTCAGAGTAAGGAGTCCAAATAAATAAGGTCTTTTTTGTAAAAAAATGAATCATTACCACACAAGTCATGACCAATGGGCTTGTCATCAAAGTCTCGAAGAAGCTCAGCCCAATCGGGCCCATACACGGGATCCTCTAAGTGCCGACTCCGTACCGCTGGTGGTAAGCTGAGTTTAAACTTGTCCCAACCACGTTTGGAAGGGTTGAGATCAAAATCTAGCTTCACAATCTTCAAGGGGAAGAGGGCAGGGTCGAAGCCTTCTCGCTGACCAGCTGGTGGGGGTGGCGGCATTGGTTCATAGGCTCGCACATTGCCAAACCGGCTTGTGCTCCCATGCTTCCAGTCCTGCAGATAGCGGGACGGTTTTTGGATTCTACAGTTCATAAATTAAGAGGTTACTGGACATTGGCATGTTGCATGTTGATTGAATCTAGCCTGCTAAGTGCATAGCATGTTTGATTTTGAAAACTGGTGACTGTCCTGGAGAAGCTCCAGTGCCATGGTCTTTTCCACAAAAAGTGCCGTGTTCAAGTTCTTCGTCAAACTCAAACTTTTGAAACCCACAGTGTCCAAGCCACGTTTGGCCACCTTCTCCAACCAAGAATCATATGGGGTCAAGTTGATGAGTCCCAAGGTTGTGACACTCTCAAGTTTGGATTTGGAGAGGAGACCTGAAATCAAAATCACTGGCAATTGGTCACCGGCCAAGAATTGAGCTGCTTCTTGAACATCACTCAAACTCCTGAAAGGTAATCACAACAAGAAATCGACATTATCAACGTGATTTTTTTTGAAGGGTCTGAAGATAAAAGAATTTACACTCAATGTAAGGGTTCCACATTCTGATGATCTATGTATCCCATCCCACAAAAATAAATACCACCCAGATTAGAAATCCTTGTTGTGGATTGGGCCTATTCATTTTGGGGGATGGTTACTGGTGGTATTTTATTTTAGGGATGGGGTAAAGAGTGCCACTATGAGTCCTCATTCCTTCCGATGCATGTGGTATACCGTCTTTCTCAGCACTGGGCACGATGTAGTTGGCTTCCATTTGCCAAGGGACATCCTGACGAGTGGCCCTGAGCAGGGAACTCAGCGCCATGGGCAGGATGGACTGTGGCATAATCTCCAACAAGTTTAGTTGCAGTGCTGGGATGTTGATAATGTTTTGCAATAGTGACCCAGCCTGTCAAGCAGCAATTGGCATCCTCGGAAGGGGTTCTCCTCCAGGTATTTGTCAGACCTTTGCAAATTGGAACGCATGACAATCACTGGCTAGTTGATTCTGACATTTGTTCTCATTCAGATTTAAAGCAACATCTCAACATTGTAGTAGGAATTGATATCAGCTAAGTGACATCACGATCCATGCGTCAAATTGGATTGGAACCCGCCGCCTTGCGGGCGGTGGGGAACAGCGGATTGCCACCGCCTCACTAACCAACCCTTTCGCATCCATCTTGTCCTCCCAGCTCCTGCACAAGCAAAAATAAAGCTGGGTGAAGACATGTAGTATTTCCAGAAAAAAAGTGAGTTTTAATATGTCATTTCAATGTTTTATATATTCAGAATAAGATATAATAAGTATATATTTTTTTAATACAAAAACATACTTATAAGTATACATATAAGCATACATATATTCATGCTATGTGTTTCTTTGTGTTTCTTTGCATTTGGAATGGGTCATGAATCCTCAACTGCCCTGGGTAGCCACCTCAACTGCCCTCGGTAGCCAGCTTGCTTCTCCGACACAAGGAACGGCGCGATGAGGATGCCCACACCTTTGGGCCGTTTGTGAAGGACATGGGCCATCAATGTTACCATCTCATCAATCTCGGACATTGTAGTTCGACCACATTTCATCATGTCACACCATACGATCGTGGGCAACTCCGGGTAGCGCATGAGAAACTGCAGGGTAGGCAGGAATCAATCAGATCAGTGAAGCTGTTCGAACAAGGGACTCATGTTTAAAAGGGAAGTTTCAAAACTCTTACTGTATAAAATTCTTCTTTTGGACCCCAGACCCTGTCAATCGATGCCATTTGATCCTTGATCACCCCAGACACAACTGCCAAATTGTCCGCCATAAAGTCAGAAACAATTGAAGCACCTATGACGTTTTGTGCCCGCAAATGGACAACTTTCTCTAGTCTGCGTGCGTTCTCTGACTTGGTCACCTCTTTGTAGATAGCGCCAATTTGCGCAATGTCACGTGCAAGGGCAAGTGTGTCAGCCTCAAACTGAGCCTTCCTAGCATCCATGGTGAGAATGGACACCTTTTCATCAGCCTCTGCAAGTTTGTCCTGTGTTGTGTCAATTGGTTTCGGCATGTGATCCTTAAAGATGGAAGAGCTCTCTGATGTCCATGTAGGCTCCATGCAGGCCAGTGCCTCATCAGCTTCTGTCACAAAGTCCCTGAGCAAGGGGCAGGGCTAGGACTAGGACCAGGCATCTAGAATCCAAAGTTTGGAGTATAGTAAAGATCAAGCAAAGATTGAATGAAGCTACCAATTTGTTTCACAACTGCACCACCACCCGAAACAAGAAATCAACTGTCAACTGAGGCAGGCCATGGTTGAACAAGTTTAGCCAAAGGTCCCTTCCACAGCACGAAGAGCAATGGAATCAATGGTCTCTTCCGTTACAGCGGCAGCACCCATAGGATCACATGCACTTGCCAAGTCTTGCAAGATGTGACCCACCAAACAGGCTCTATCACATTCCAGGACCCAGTTCTCCAAACTAAGTCGATTGGAGCTTGCTCTCCCTGGCCCCCCCTTCTTAGACGCTATGTCGTGAAGCAGCAAAACTCGGTGCATGAAAAGGACTTGTTTTTTCCGATCAACTTTCAACACTTGATGCCAGTTGTGAAGATTCTTTGCCGCGGGGTCTTGGGAAATTCCGCCCAGCATCCATCGCTCACACAGCAAGAGCGCATTCGTGAAGGCTGCAGGGAATAATGATATGAAGGTTTTGATTCAAGAATAAACTGCATGCAAAGGAGCATGATAGTTTCCACATTCTTCAGAATACTTGAGAACGCACCACGCCTGATAACTCGAACTTGTTCGTGTGCAAATGCGCTTCCAGGAGACTCCAAACTTCGTCACAAACACCAACCTGAGCGGGAAAGCCCAGAATGGAGGGTGAGAGGTTTGATGGGTGATGTTGGGGATTTCATTATAGAATACAAGGAAAAACATGCTTCAATTTCACTATATCCAGAAACCCGGAAAGCATACAATTGCAACGCTGCATTCTGGTCGATGAAAACCCTGGTGCTATGCTTGGCCAACCCATAGCCATTGAATTCCTCAACGGCTTTGAGGAAAGCCATCTTGTAGTTCCCAGTGTAGATTGTAGGATCCTGGATAGACTGGATTGCCCAAGAGTTGATGGTAATTAGGCATGTGAATTGGCACATTGCATCACATTGCTAGGTACTGAATCCCTCTTAAAATTATGAATTGTCCTGCACCATCAACTCTTTGGCTCGGGTGTCAAATGTCAACGCCTTTTGAAGGCAGTTCTTTTTCTGACGCTCTGCCTGCTGATCGTTCAACTGCATCCTTCTCCACAAGCATTCTGCCTGTGAGGCCTCAACGAACTTCACCTTGATGGTCTGGACCGTTTGGAGCCACCTGTTGGGCGAGGGCAGGCTGCCAAAAGGAACCTAGATTCCAACAAAAAAATTACCCTAAAAACCCAAAATAGATAAAAGCATCACCTTGGAAGATGCTAAAATTTCAAAAAATTAAGACGACGGTTCCGGTGGAACCATCACCTTGGAGACCTTGTCAAAGGGTGTGCTTCTGGGTTCCCAAAATATCGATGAGCTTCCCAAAATATCAAACTCAGATCCCAAAATATCGATTTTAATGTGAATTGGTTCCCAAAATAGTGATTGATATTTTGGGTTTGCTATGCTGGTATGGTTTCAAGTTCTCCAAGACGACGGTTCCACCAGAACCATCACGTAGAAAAATTGGAGTTTTTCAAACTTCCAAGACGACCCTTTTATATATTTTGGGGATTTTGGTCCTGATTGCCACAATAATATTTTACGATGATACCATGAATTAACTTGAAATCCCAGCTCCAGATTTTAAAAAACACCAGACCTGAGAAACAATTCTTTGTCACCATCATTCAATTCCTCCCTGTGGTAGAACGTGTGGCAAATGACCCAGAGGATCATGGACATTCTTCCCAAGCCCCTTACGGGTTGCACATCTTTGAAGCCCAGGCTACATCCCCAAGGGGTCGAATCTGTTTGACTCTTTACTTCTACACAGCTCCTCCAGCCCTCATACCCCTCAAACACTATGCCCTTCAGGTTGTAGAGCCAGCCCGAAAAAATCGGCAAGCCATCCGCAGGACGGGTGAAATTGAAGGACAGCAAGGGGATGTCCACCATCTCCTTGGCTGAAGCCTCAGCGAAGCAGCACACGATTGAGGTGGCTCACTGGATCTAACTCAGGTTGATAATCATGATGATATGCTGTAAGGCTAGAAACTGGGTAATTGGAGCATGTCGGGCGAGGGAAGCCCTGGAGCATTTCTTCAAGCCATGTTTGAAGGGGCTCGAAGTCCTGGAAGTCATTGTTCAACGAGTCGAGCAAGCTTTGCACAGGATGACAACCAGCCTTGAAAGCATTCCTGGGATCAACTTTTTGTTGACATTCACTTCGATCAAAAATCAGATTCCATCGACCCTCAGATTTTCTTAAATTTGTGCTTTGAAATTGACAGTTGAACCTAGTCTCTTGGCATAGTCATAGACTTTAGTTGCCCATGGGTTGGCAAGCTTTGCTGCCTTGCTTGGACCAGAGTCGCCATCAGGTGCGACGCGTTTTCCCATCCTGGCCAAACTTTCCTGGCCCAGGACGAGCAAATTGAGCCTCACACAGTTGATCAGTTGGATCTGTTGTTGATGTAAGGTGGGAAATATGGATCCTGGGTTTGTTCAGCAATAGCCAATTGCCCCATTGCAAATCAACACTTTTTCCGTCTTGTGCTCAGGACTGTTCATTAGATCAGCAATGCATAAATCATCAGGAGTCTAAACAATCTGAATTTCAGCGCCATTCTAGCGCCATTGCTGCTATCAGCATAATGGCACCCACACATGGAGTGCTCATGGTGTTTCCGGCTGCCTTGCCTTTGTTCAATCCAGAATCACCAACCCGGAGCACAGGAGCACTACAAATTGCTGCCTGCTTGGCAGTTGTGGGGATCAGCTGGCTTGCAAGCATTTCGTTGCCCGTCAAGAAGCGGTGTTTCTCCTGCAGGATTGTTGGGACCATGTGTAATTATGGTACAATCATATCTGCTTAAATCTAATCAACAAGATCATATGATAAAATGTTTCAATGAACTTAATCCAGTTCCCCTGATATCAAATGATTTCGATTGTTGGGGCCCCTACGAGGATATTGGAAAAAAAGGGGTTGTCAAATGCGACGGGCGTTGAGCAGTGACAGGTCCTGGGAGAAAATTTTGCAGCTATTCGTTGTAAGTGTGCAGAGGCACCCATCGCTGGTTTCACCCCGCCCCCTATTGTTTGAGGGGTATTGCTGCAAATCCACATACTTCAGGTTCGGCATGTAGCTCTTGTAGTCTTGGAGGACTTTTTCCTTGTCAAGAAGTTGGATGATCAATGGTTGTTGTATTGAATTGTTCAATGACAAAATTTCAAAAATGCCATTCGATGTTGACACTTTCAAAAACAGAGTCATTATAGATCCTTGTAAGCTATAGCCATCATAAATCCCTGTGCAATCAAAAAGCCTGCGCTTGGGTCAAGGTATCCTTCGGAAGATCTTGCCAAAAGAAGCCACCTGCTCCAAATTCAACGGAAGCCGTCAGGGCCTCAAGAATGGCTTCCATGCTGACGTCCTCTCGCCAGTGGATTGTTTTAACCTTCCAACAGATGGCATAGAGGCGGCTCCTAGCTGCCCCTATTCCGAAAATCCGGGGGTCAATCACATGGGATCTTATTCCCCATTCTGGTCCAAGCTCATCTCTGATGTGGGTTTCTCCATATTCAGGTACATTTTCGATGATCAAAACCTCACACAATGTTTTCATTTTCTTGTAGTACTGCCGATGGGTTTCATACGCCGGATCAGCTGTGCCTTTCCTGTTTCCAATCTTGGAAAAGGAAATGCATACTGGACCTAAGTGTGCCATGTCATGCTGAATGGGTTAATCCATCTAATCATGGCACATTGATTGAGTCCGTCAAGCGCAGAGGCCCTGGCCAGCTGCATCGACGGGCAATCCTGAGGACAGGGTGATGGCTGGAATGGGCTAAGCAGGGCTATGGTTGAGTTTGAAAACCTACAGCATGCAAAGGGAAACTGAACAAAATTCAGCTGAGGTTCGTTTTTTCTTTTTGAGATGTTTCTTCCGAATAGGGCAGGGTTTTCCATGGGTGACACAAAATTCTTTTGACTTCGTGACGTCAAAGGTCAAGATGTCTCCAAAGCAGCAACAATTGTAAGTATTTCCCAGAACCTTCTGGGCACTTTTGTCAATTTCCACCGCAAAGTCATGAGCCACAAATGGACATTCCAGACTGGGGATTGCATGCCCGTTCTCCCTGAGGAATTCCGCTGCTGCAGACTGTAGAGAAGCCGCTGCCTCAAGACAGGATTGGCTGGAGATACAGAAATTCAAAGTTGGCAACAGGCTGCTGAGCTTCAAACACTTTCAGCTGCCCCAATTCCAGAAAAGGCCGTGCTCATACTCCAACTCCATGAGTTGATACGTTCACAAACCCATGACTGGCCGAACTTGTCAGCCAGTCGCCTTAAAAACACCGTGGGCCATGAGAAAGCGTTTTCCACACTCACAAAACCTTTTGGGTGTTGGTCACTGGCAGCGAAGATTGTACACTTTGGGTACTTCTGCCTCACACAAGGAAATTCTGTTTTATCAGGATGGGCACCCCATATCTGATACAATAAAGTGATTAGCTCCATATGATACTTTCTTTTGGGATAATGATGACAGGTTCTCATGATGTTTTCTGCGCTGGATTCTAACAACTGGCCGCCTTCGCTTAGGTTTGATTGGCACCTTCCGGGATCTTTGCCTGCCAACGGGCTTCCACAAGGTTTGAAACTTAGAAAATCTGAGGCTATGGGACTGGGAAAACAAGTAACCCGGCCTTACTGTCTGAAATTGATTCTTCAAGATCTTCTTCTTGTTGACCCCCCTTAGAATCCAGAATAATTAGAGATACTAGCCAATGCAACAACAGAGGCAGAGGCCCAAACTCTGGTGTCTTCGCATGAATCGCTTGTAGCACGGAGTTCCGTAGGGAACCGTACCTCTCACAGGCTTAGACGACCTAGAAATTAAAAGTATGGGGAATAAAGGTGATATCCGAAAAAAACAATCCGATCGCCTGCTGCATGAAGCTATTGTTTTTGCTGGCGACCTGCACACACAAGTATTACATTAAAATTACATGTCATGCTTGATTCGGCCACTAAACCCTGGATTCATGCATGAATAAGAATTGATTTACATTGATGTGACCCTGCAAGCCTTCTCACTGGTTCTGGCTTCTGGGAAACAACTTGTGGAGCATTGCGGCTAGGCCTCCCAATGGTAGCTGAACACACCAAAACCCTGAACCAATCTTCAATAATGATAAAACAACACCTTATCTGACAAATGACAGCAGACAAAAAACAAACACGACGACAGCAACAGAGTTACACCACTACTACAACAACAAGACCAACACCACCAGCACCCACCAGCACCCACCAGCACCCACCACCACGGCCACCACAGACCACCACAGACCACCATAGACCACCACAGACCGCCACAGACCACCGCGACCACTTCCACCAACAACACGAACAACAATAACAACGGCAATAACAACGGCAAGAACAATAGCAAGAACAATAGCAAGAATAATAGCAAGAACAAGAACAAGAACAACAAGAACAAGAGCAAGAACAAGAACAAGAACAACAACAACAACAGCAGCAACAACAACAACAACAACGACCACGACCACGGCCACAACCACGACCACGACCACAAGAACCACCACCACAACAACAACAACAGCAAGAACAGCAAGAACGAAAACAAGAGCAACAGGGCAAATTCCACCATTCGCAGGAAACCAACAGCTACAGCAGCAGCAACAGCAATGGGAAGCAAAATTGATTAGCGAGGAACCATGGCTACCACAATCTACAATTGACAGTGACAAAGTGGCATCACCAGAACCACCATCAACACCACAACAAACAAGAGTACCACTAGCAGCACAAAAGCCAAATTGGTACTGGACTACGTGCCTTGCCGGAAGACCTGTGTCCTGTCGTGTCTCCTCTAACCTTTGTCGGTGCTTATTAACACAGCGACATGGCTTGGAAAGGGGTGGAAACATTAAGTCCCCAGCTTCTGGTCAAGATTTCCCTTTGTCCGTCCAGCGCTCCTGCATGGTTTGGCAAATTAATGATTCTGCTACCGAGGACAGCTTGTTGAAGCTGGCTGCTCCTGGCTATGTTCTTCCAGGCACCCTGCAGGGCCGATTGGACAGCCTGTTTTAATCCTAGCATTGCCCAGTTTTTGAGCCGAGGGCCTCAGAAACATCCTGGCACATCGAAGATGCATTCAAGTTTCCTTTTGATGTACAACGGATTGTAAGAGGACAAGCAAAACTCACTCCAAGGGCTGCAAATCTTTCAGTGGCAGTCGGATTGTCCATCTATGGGTGGGCCAAGGAAACCCAGCACAGGTGATGGCACATTTGGAACTGACTGTTGTCACAGCCCCCTAATTATATATGATAAGCTAAGCTTGGCATCCTCAGCTAGTCGCTAATTGACTTCCCATCCTTAGCATCAGAATCTGGTGTGACAATATTTAAGCTTTGTTTCATTGAAATTCAATCGCAGCTTCGGCCTTGTCATCGCCAGATGTGCTGCTCCCAGTGTGCTTCGAAGGCAAGTCCTCCAGCACGGGGCAGACCAAGGATGAAATGCCATGTGGGGGTTTCCATAAATGGTGGTACACCAGAATTTATGGTTTGAGGGAAATATATAAAATGGATGATTTAGGGGTAGTCCCATTTATGGAAATCCCCATGTAGTAGAATTAGGTGAGGTTGGCAACTTGTGTTTGGACTGGACCAGAATTAGGTATCAAATTGTTAGATATATCTCTGGGCTGGGTCCTGTGTCACTAATAAACATCAAAACAGTAAAACCATATAACAACAATATGGTGATAATAACTATAATTATAACATTGACAAAGAGCTTAATTCAATACTCCTGAGCCATAGAAATCAGAGCCTTGTCAAGGCCACCTGTGCGGCGCTTCTTTGCATCCCGTTCCTGAAGGCGCGGTGGGGCATCACCTACTTTCTTTATTATAGCTTGAGCAAGACCCAAGCCTTCTGCAATTCCTCCAGTAGGACGTCTAACTCCCCCTGGTCATGATGTTGCATGGAGTTATGGAATTGAGAAGTTTGACACGAACTTAGACCTGGGAGTCTGCCACAAGATGTGGGTCGAAGTCTATGATCTTAGCAGCCAGATTCCAGTAACAATAGATACTCTTCAAAGTTCAAAGAATTGTTTTGGGATCTGACCTCACAATCGTCATCATCGGCTGAATCGCCTTTCAAAGGCTCAGGGTGTCCAACCTGCAGAATGGACGCATCAAAATCTTTATGGTTAAGATTTTATTCTCAATAAAAAGCCTCCCGGAACAAGTCGTCGTCTACATGGTAGAGCTGGGATTGGTAGTCTTCAAAAACCTCACAACACAAAAACCAGATCAGACTATTATGTTCAAGAAATTTCCGGACAAAATGTTCGAGAAAATGTATTTCAGTGTATACTCTGCACTCCTGCTCTTTGGCAGCACCCGCAGCGCTCCAAACCTGGCACCAGGATTGGATACCAATTGTGAGGGGATGGGCAATCTGGTTCGAAGGAGGCCTGCCTGGGATTTCTTTCGCCTCAACAGCTGTTGGCAATGGGTCTTAATGGAACAATATGGAAAGTCATGGATCCCTTGACATAATTTCGTGATTTATTATTTTTACCCGGGCCTTAGGGCTGACTGGCTCATAGCCATGGGAATGCTAAAGTGGTAGCCTATAGCTAAGAGGCTGCCTGGGGATACTTCTGATCCAGAAAAGCTGCTAATGAAGCAAAATGAGAAAGTCCCATGTAAGAAAGTCATTGAAGTGAGAAAGTCCCTCATCATTGGTTTTTTACCCTCGCCGAGCAAAACGGACTTCGAATCTCATAGTAGGCATCAACCTACGAGCAACTCGTGGCACAGCCACCTGAATATTATCAGGAGGGGTGGCTGTGGTAAACCATGGCATTGGGGGCAACGGTCCTGGAATTGGGTTTTCCACCAGGCTCAATAAAAATTCAACTGCCCTCCCCATGGTGTCGGAAGGAAACCTCCGAAGCAAGAGCCTGCACAGCTCCAGGTACTTCTTGGCCTTTGCCTGCTCCACTGGTCTGAGAGGCCGGGCCACAGTTGGGGCAGCATTGAGGATGGGAACTGCAAAGTTGTAGGGCATGGCCAGCACTGCTTCCTCGGGCAGGTGGACTCTAACGTTGTTCTGATATGCATTCATTTTACAAAATGAGGTTGCTGTGTGATATATGTTCTAACTTTGTTCTGAAACATGTTGTTTAGACGTGACATGTACTCATTAAAAGATGAGGTTGCTGTGTGATATATGTTCAAAAATGTTCTAACATTGTTCTGAAATATGTTGTTTAGACAAAGAATCTTGCGCCAAAGTGTGATCGGCAGCATTCCGTTTCACCAAGCAAACCACATCCAGGTCATGAGGTAGGATCACTCCATTCCTCTGGTCATAGGATATCGCCACATTCCGAGGTAGGGCTGGCCGGTGCCAGTGTAATGTTTCATGATTAGAGTCGTTAGGCATCATGATATCTTGAAATATTCAAACCCCAAATTTTGATGACATAACATGTGTTTGCATTCAAATCCAAACTACTGGCCTTTTCTCTTCATGAACATGAAAGCATGAAATCCAGTCTCGTCTGACTTCATGCCGCCCTGGAAGGTCACTGGCAGAGAAGCGTTCAACCTTGCAGCGGCAAAGGGGAAAAGTGTCAGGGGAGCGATCGTGAATAGCAGGGTTTGAAGTAACGATCAATTGTTATTATATGTTATTATATATCATATAATAGCTAGATATTAGACCGGAAAAATGGAACACTGAAAAAGTAATACAGCATTTTTTTTATTGGGGGCTATGGTACGTTTAGCAATTCAATAATATCATGAAGCCATTGGGGGCTATGGTACACCAATTCAATAATACCAAGAAACATCAAGAAACCATGGGGGGCTATGGTACACTAATTCAATAATACCAAGAAATCGTGGGGGGCTATGGTACACCAATTCAATAATACCAAGAAATATCAAGAAACCATGGGGGGCTATGGTATGCTAATTCAATAATACCAAGAAACCATGGGGGGCTATGGTACACCAATTCAATAATACCAAGAAACATCAAGAAACCATGGGGGGCTACGATACACCAATTCAATAATTATACCAAGAAACCAACCTGTCCAGTCACGACAGCTAGTAAGCAACTGCACCTTCACTTGCGCCTTTTCCCCAATCCATTTGCGGATGTTGATGCGTTCCAAGATGCCTCTGAGTTTCCTGGCGCCACACGGGTTAAACATTTGTTGGCTGCCATGTGCCTAACTTGAACTGAATACAAAGTAAATTCAAGTCGAGGGTCATCACCAAGTCATTGGGATCACAGATCAGGTCAACAAACCGTACGCAAGTGGCTACCAACCCAAATAGTTGGTCTTAGTTGCTGGTTTGCGATGAGGGCATTGCGGATCTGGAATGTGCACAACTGGAACTGTCACAGTAACTATGAGAACTCTTGAAATCATGTGGTTGCAAGAGAAGCAAAAGACACAGAGCGTGCAATCAAGGAACCCAGTGCACCGTGCGAGTGCCCCACTCGGGGAAAGAGAAGAGAACAAAAATTCATCTTCTCCTTCTGCAGAAGGGTCGTCATCATCTTCATGCAGCCATTGTTCTTATTCTCTCTAACAGTGTTGTCAGCCTTGGATCTCTCTTTGATAGCGCATGACTCATGCTGAGAAGACATGCTCAAGTGCCGACACAAGTAGATGCTGTCAAGATACCCAGCAAATCAGTTCTTTGGGCATTGGCTTCTGATGTCGCTGGAAGAGCTCGGTCGCGGTTTCCATCGATCGTAAGAAGCATTCAAGCACCAATGACGAATCTGCTGGGACTGCTGGGTGCACACAGAATAGTGTCAATGCTACCCCATGCACCCACACTCCATGGACCTTCAGTCGAGGTCTCAGAACGTTCTGGGCCTCCTTAGATTGCTGAACCAGGCGGTGCCTGGAGACCGCCCATTTGGACTGGTCCATTCCATCCTGAGTTCAGTCAGATTGATCAGGCTGGAACAGAACTTCAATGGACCAGGCTGGAGCAGAACTTCAATGGATCAGGCTGGATCAGGATTTCAATGGATCAGAAGGATCAGAAATTCAATAGATCAGGCTGGAACAGAACTTCAATGAACCAGGCTGGGTCAGAACTTCAATGGATCAGGCTGGATCAGAACTTCAATGGCTCAGGCTGGATCAGGATTTCCATGGATCAGAATGGGTCTGGATATTCAATGGATCAGGCTGGAACAGAACTTCAATGGATCAGAATAGGTCAGAATTTCAATGGATCAATCTGGACCAGAACTTCAATGGATCAGAGTGGCTTTGAAATTCAATGGATCAGGCTGGATCAGGACTTCAATGGACCAGAGTGGATCTGAAATTCAATGGATCAGGCTAGATCAGATACTTCAATGGATTACTGGATCAGAAAATCAATGCCTGGATCAGAATGCAGGCGAGAGGCCCAGGTCACAGCCAACGGCGCAGTCTCATCCTCAAGGGGGCTTTGAGCCTGGCTCGCAATGTTTCAAAAAGTCAAACTTTCCGGTTCCAAAACCGTTCCTGTTCAAAGGTTCTGCTCCAAAAAGAGCCAAGCTATCTGTTTTCAAAAATGCTCCAAACTTGCCAGGCTGACGTGAAGAAACTCTTCCAACTGGCGGTCTGCGGCAACCAAGTCAAGGTGACATTTGTACTCGCGCGCAGTCTCATATTTGGATTGAGCGTCCTCAGCACAAACAACAGGTGCTCACTGGTATCGAGCGAAATCTTGGACAGAAGTGGTCCAAACTGCTGACGGTATGTTTTGTTTCCAAGGGTCCACAGCTTTCCTGAACCTCTGCTTGAAGTCAACGCAGGAATCACATGTTCCATGTGTTGATGGAGGCAAAAAGCGCAACACTTTTGCCCACACAGTCCTGTAACGTCTCCAGAAGGTGATGTACCTTGCAGTTGCACTCGCTGCAACCCAATCCCCCGTGCCACTCAAACCAATCATACAAACACAAACCACTTCGAATCACAAAAAAACCAGCGGCGAAATCCGAGGTGTGGTCTGGCAAAACTCCAGCCATAACATGCGGATCGTCCCTGGTGGGAGATATCTCGTGGGTAGTTCAGACACCCGCTGGGCCATGCTGCTCTCCACATACCTTGGACAATTCTAATTCGAGAGGCTGTTCTGTATCCCAGAGAAATCCAAGAACCAGTTCTAACTGTCAAGAACCAACTCATGGCTGAAAAGATCTCAAAAGTGAGTAGCTGGGGGACTTCAAGAACAAGGAGTTGGTGCCTAAGATATGGAGGCGAAGGCATTCGTCATCCTCCAATCGTTCACCTGCGACACAAAAGCCTGGCTCCTCGCCCTCGTCCTCCTCATCACTGCCTCAATTGCTCTTATGACAGGATAGTCTTCCAACATGTTGGAATCATAATTTCCACATCAGTGCGAAAACATGGCCAAGGCACAAATTTCCCGTTCATCAGGCGCCCGCATGACGATCTGGAGGCGTTCTGCTGAGCTGTGTCCAGTACCTCGTTTTTGGCCACCTCTTTGGAACCTCAGGGTGGCAAACTAGCTGCTTGGCACCAAGTACTATGTCTTAAAATTTACCCAAACAATCCCAACATTATTTCTCTGAATTGCTATCGAAAAACTTGTTTGGCAGCATGCCAGCTGCATTTGTATACAGCTTGAGCAAATGAGCGTCCACCTTCATCCTTTTGATGGCAATGCACCTGCGTGCCTTGGACAAAGAGAGATACAAGAAGGTGGAGCAATTCTCACTTCCTAAATGCAATTTCTTTCACCAGCTAGAAACCAAGTTACAAACCCAAATCTCCTGTATCTCATGTCCACTTTCCCATGAAAGGCAGCATGCAATCTGTTGTAGCCGATTCCCACGAGGGCTGCCAGGCATCTAGATCCCACAGATCTTCCCAGAATCTGCCATTGTCTGTAGACTCCGTCAGGGGCAGCAGCCATTCGGTGAATCTAAGTAGAACAAGCCAAAGGAGAATTCAATATGTTTCCATGTTTTGGCTGTCAAAGGTAAAAGCCAATTCAATGCACATTGTCAGACTGAAATCATATTTCTCCATGATGGCTTACAAATTGAATGTTGTAGCCTAGCAACGTACGCATCCTGCAATGTCTTCTTCATGGTCCAGAATGCAGTTAAAAATTTCATCAATTCCTGTTCCCTGAATTTTCTGAAACAGTTTCCGGCCCCACAGCGGCACTTCCTTGAAAGAAGCTTCCGTACTCGGACAACGCTTTGGCCATTCACATGCTGCCTTGGATAACGAGTGGGCAAGGATAGGGGGAAGCCATGATATGGAAGCCCCCAAAAAAACAAAAAAAACAAAAATATCCAATTCTCTCATTTTTAGGTACTGTTTCCGTTCTGGTTGTTGTATGGCCCAGAACTGTCGCTTACGCTGGTCGTAGTTTGGCCGTGCCCCCAAAGGTTTCATTCCTTCATTCTCTTTATGAGCTGAATGCTCAAGGTTGTCATCTCTAAACTGGAGCACGGATTCTAAGGAAAAATTCACATTTTTTTTCTGTGAACTTCCTGCTGGAACCTTTACATCCTTTGGGCCAGGTTCGCCCACCAGTCTTCTGAAAAAAATAAATCTTTCATCAGCTCCAACTGGCGCATCTTCAACCGGTCTTGACGTTGATGATGCTGGCTCCACATTGCGACATTCAGTCTGCAATGACTGAATGAACCTAGGTAAAAAGTCGAGCCAGCCAACTCTAAATACAGCCATTTAGAAATGAGACTTCAGGCACGACCAGCTGCAAGCAAGAAACTGTAGCCTCAGAGCAGCCTTTCCGGGTGCTTTTTGGGCCATCGCAGCTGCAGCCCATGAAACCCTTGAATCTCAAATGCAAAGAAATGAATCTCAAACATAACGAAATGCCCTTATATATAAATATATGTATAATATATATATATATAATTACATATATATATGTGTGTGTGTATGGCACGTCGTCCTGCCACGTCATTTCTGGAATATCTTTGTGTCATCGGTTTCTGGCAGGAAAGAGGATGAGAAAACAAAGGTTTCTAGACTTCATCCGAGTTGTCTATATACGACTATGTATACGACTATATATACAACTATGTACTCTACCAAAGAAAGTCCGATATAGACGACTATACGACCAGTACTACCGCACAAGACGATGACGGAAATTTAAAGATAGGAACCTTTTGGAGAGGTTGGTTGCTGTGAAGGATAGATGGCAGAGCGAGCCAACTGATGGACCGACAAGTGGTTGGAGGCAGCGCAGTGTAGTTAGTTCTAATGTAATGTAGTTGTAGTTGTGCTTGCCGTTGTAGCTGTAGAATGTTGTAGATGTAGTTGTGGTTGTAACAGTAATGTAGTTGTAGTTGTAGTGAAAGTGCAGTGCAGTGTAGTGTAGTGTTAGTTGTAGTTTGCCCGTTCCAGTTGCCCGTTCCGGTTGCCCGGTTGGCCGGCTGACCGTGGCCCGGTTGCCCGTTCCGGTTGCCCGTACTACTACTAGTACTAGTACTACTTCTGCGACTCCTACTACAACAAGTAGTACTAGCACTAGTACTAGTACTAGCACTAGTACCACTAGTACTACTAGTACTACTAGCACTACTAGTACTACTGCTACTACTACTACTACTACCACCACTACCACTACCACCACTACCACTACCACTACTACACTACCACTACCACTACCACTACCACTACCACTACCACTACCACTACCACTACCACTACCACTACCACTACCACTACCACTACTACTACTACTACTACTACTACTACTACTACTACTACTACTACTACTGGTACTGGTACTGGTACTGGTACTGGTACTGGTACTCGTACTACTACTACTACTACTACTACTACTACTACTACTACTACTTGAACCGTGGAACCGTGTGCCACGGTTCGGGCTCCACGGTTTCACAATTGAACCGTGCAACCGTGGGCCACGGTTTGGGCTCCACGGTTCGGGCTCCACGGTTTCACAGTTGAACCGTGGAACCGTACCCCCGTCCGCCACGGTTCAACCGTGGAACCGTACGCCGCGGTTCGGGCTCCACGGTTCCACGGTTGAACCGTGGAACCGTGTGTCACGGTTCGGGTTCCACGGTTCCACGGTTGAACCGTGGAAACGTGGGCCACGGTTCGAGCTCCACGGTTTCACGGTTTCCACGGTTGAGTTCCACGGTTCACGGTTGGAGAGTGCCCGGCTCCGCCCTTCTCTGCTTTTCATGCTTTTGCTTTTTTCTTGGATGTGCGTTTGGGCTGCCATCAAATATTAGCTGCAGAAACCAGGACATAGAAATAAGGATGAACATCATACACGTGTCAATACAATGACTGCCGCACAAGTTAAATTCGGCAATTTGTGGAGGGGACCCTTCTTTGAACTTCAAATTGCCTTTTTTAGTAAAGAAAGTTGTCAAAAACTGGTCCGTTTGGGAAACTATGTTTTTCTCAAATCCTGATCTAAAAGTTATTGACATATTACTTTTTTGTTTAAGGGTGTTTGCGTGTAATTTCTTCTCTTCCTCCTCATGCTTTTTCTGCTTTTGCTTTTTTCTTGGATATGTGTTTGGGCTGCCACTACTACGACGGCGACTACTACGACTAGTACTACTACTACTACTACTGCTGCTGCTGCTGCTGCTACTGCTACTGCTACTGCTGCTGCTACTGCTACTTCTACTGCTACAACAACTATACTACTACGACTAGTACTACTACTAGTACTACTACTACTAGTACTACTACTACTACTACTACTACTACTACTGGCCGGTCAGCCGGTCGGCCGGTCGGCCAACCGGGCCGGCCGGTCAGCCGGCCGGTCAGCCGGCCGGTCAGCCGGCCGGTCAGCCGGCCAGCCGGTTCACACACACACACACCCTCCCGCAGGAGGGTGGACAATTTAAAACCTCAAAACCTAGACCTAACAAGCCTAACTAAAGAAATGAGACCTGAGCCTGGAATGAACATGAGTAGATGAGATGAGAGGCCTAGCAAAATATAAATATATGATGAAACAACTCACCCACCCTCCCGAAGGAGGGTGGGAGGATAAGGTCCGGACAATAAGATGAAAATGAAGAGAAAGGGAAATGAAGATGAGATGAAAATGACAATGAGATGAAAGTTACTTAACCAGGACGCGAAGAGGGGGAACGCAAACGCAGAGGGAAGGAGAAAACACCAACACATGAAAACCTAGCCCACCACGGGCAAACCCTGAAAGGGGAAGGAAAAAGAAAACGGAGGCAGACGGAAACGGAACCAGACCCGCGGAGGGGGGGGGAGACGGAAGCGCCTGAACCAACCTACACCAGCGAAACCTACACCTACCTGGGCACGCGAAGGGCCAAACCTACCTGGAGAGAGGAGCACGCAGAAACACATGAAATAGGGGATTCAGGTGTAAAAGTTCAACAGTTTCAACAAATGATGCATTCATCAAATCATGCAAAGTCGTGATTAGGCTCAAGGCCCTCGGTGTTCAAGTCAACCCTTGGACGGCTTACGTGGTGAACCCTTGAATTACATGCACAAATTTCCTCCGTACCAAAGACCATCAAAAGGAAAAATCACCAAACCTGCAAGCATGTCCTGATGCCTTAAGTCCTCATGTAAAGGGGCTGCGGTCAGTCTCTTGAGAAAGGGAGATTGTTGGCGCAGCTTCAGGCTACAAACCCTTGCGCAACCGAAAAAATGAAGCCAGTCTCAGCGGCCAGTTGTTTAACACATCGACCGACCAAAGGTGAGAAGCTGAAAGGTGAACGGCTTCTTCACTTTACTTAAACGAATTACTAGGTTGAAAACTGTAAATTCGGAGGTCGAGTCTTGGCGTCACATTCTGCTTAGAAAAGCATTCCCCGAAGAGTTCATGACATCGTGTCGAAAGCGTCATGAAGCACACACTTGTTCAGAACAATCTTATCGAATTAGGATGATGAATGCATCTTA